TTTGTTGCTGCCAAAGTATCTGATCAACCAGTTTCCTTACCAGCTGTCAGCGATCGATCGGACCCCATTCGCGTTGTCCTACCGTATAAAGATCAGGCATCCGCTGATATTGTTCGTGCCCAACTTAAAGATCTAAGTCATAGGATCCAGACGACCTTACAACCTGTATTTGTTAGCCAGAAGATTGGTCGAGACCTCAAATTGCGAGAAGCTAAGCCGCCGATTGTGAACCAACAGTGCCTTGTTTACAAATTTCAATCTGACCTGTGCGATGCTGGTTATGTTGGTTTCACACGCCGTCATCTACACCAACGTGTTGAAGAACATAAAAACTCCTCTTCGTCAATTGGCAAACATTTTCGCGACAAATATTCTTTGACTCCAAAGGATCTTACAAAGAACTTTAGAACCTTAATGAAGTGCACGAACAAGTTTGACTGTCTCGTCTATGAGATGTTTTTTATTCATAAGCTAAGACCTGCTCTCAATGTACAGTCTAATTCAATTCGTGCTAAGGTTTTTAATTAGCTTTTTACTAGCACTTTCTTTGTAGTTTTATCGTTTGTTTACACCTGCAAAATTTTTTTTTTTATATTTCTTATGTGTATATATACATATATTTACTGTATTTCATTCCATTCACTTGACAATGACCGAAGCACGGTCGAAACGTCGTGTTTTACCGTTGATTTTTATCGTCAAAAGAATCTTGAAATTATTTGAAAATTTCATTCGACTTCCCCACTGAGGTGATTGGGTTTCCTGTGTGACGCACTGCACAGCGAGATCATAGAGCCTGAGGTGTAATGGGTAGATTTGGCTTACTTTCCTTTTTGATCTCCCCGGCTACGCGCCATAGGCGACAATTGGAGACAAAGCCTTTTGGCAAAATGCTTTGCGCACATACATAGGAACTTAGAACAGTTCTAGCTGCTGGCTACTTTATCTCACACAAAGCGAAGGTCGAAAGGTAAATTTACCGTATTAAACTTATACATTTTGTCCATGAATAGGATCAGGCCTTCCTATTGACATATTTCTATCTATGCTTCCTGGGCCTTAGTGAGGATAACTTTTAGCTCTTCGTTTACAACATAGTTTTGTTCGCATAGTTTGGAGTTGAATATCCAGGTTATAACTTGTATTTGCCAGTATGAGAGGGTAACATGTTATGCACCAAGCCTCCTATCCAAGTAGGTTCCCTTGGTGACCAATTGTACAGGAACTAGGACGACTTCGGTTCAGTAACTAAGCGAGTTTCACGGGCTCAAACCCGTGTCAATGAATAACAATAACTAGATTTATAAACTGTATTTTTTCTCACTGCTAAAATTAAGAAGCACCGTCATAGAAAATTTTTACTGTCTTCAAATATCTTTTTTTGGGCTCCGTATGATGATAAATTCAATTTTCGTTTTGCATTTGCAAATTCAGTGATAAAACGCGCAATCTTTAAAGACCAACACTAAGCCGATTAACCAGAGCTATTGTCTATACTCAATTCTTGCTTTGTTTTCCCGCAAGTAAGACAGTTGTACACGTTTCAGTACACGTGTTAATGCTTCGAAAAGCTAAAATTGAAGTCGTGCACGTTTCAGTACACGTGTTAATGCTTCGAAAAGTTGTATCTACATTTGCGGCAACGACGCTCAGTTCCGCTTAATGCAACTGTATATCGTGGAAAGATAACTGTAAATGAAGCAATTGCGAAAAAATTAGCAGGAATGGACAATTTAAAAAAATAAGAGTGATTACATAACGTAATAACGTAGGGGTAATTTAGAGAAAAGCATCCCCAGAGAGCAAAGTTGTGCATGTTAAGTTTGGTTCATGGAATTAAAATTCTACACCCTAAATAGTCAAAAAAGCATTGGTAAACATTTTGGATATTCTTTAAATTCAAGTGACTTAGAGAGAAAATAAAATAAATCTCAAAATTGACAACAAAATCTCAGAAATCATAACAAAATCTGTGAAATTGGCTACTTGTCCACTTAGGAATTAAAGAGTAAAGCGAAGGCTGAGTCTACAAATCTGCAGCGAGGGATGTCAACCGCTGTCATCCAGAAAGGTACAGCGGAAGAGATTGAGCAGCTCCTTGCTGCGAAACAAGAAACAGGCCTCTGGGAGAAAAGTTACAACTGTTTACTGCAGGAACACGAGGTCTTTCAGAACGATTTGATGGAGCTACAAGACAAATTAGTCGGAATGCAGAAAGAGTATGAAAACTCACAGAAGGAACTTTTGAGTTGCAGCAAAAGCTGTAGCATCAAGGTGAGTTACATCATTCTGAAGCTTACATTCACTCTGTGCGATTATGTTAGGAAGATCCTGTGTGCAGTATGGTTTAGTATATTATGCAAATGAATAAAGGCTGATAGTTTCGAAAGAAACTGTTTGGGGCTGCGTCGGTGGGAGTAACGAAATAATTTGGATATATCAACAAAGTTGAAATGGTAAATTGGCCACCGTAATGATTACAAAAGCTGACGTTTCGAGCGTTAGCCCTTCGTCGGAGCGAATAGAGGAATTGTGGGTTGTGTGTGCTTTTAAAGGCAGAAAATGGAGCTACGTTATTGGTGGGNTCTTTCAAACCGGCAGTCTAAATCCCACAGGGATCAACGAACGCTTTTCATTCCACTAATTTATTCGTGTTTTTCTCGTTGTCATGTTTCCACCAATAACGTAGCTCCATTTTCTGCCTTTAAAAGCACACACAACCCACAACTCCTCTATTCGCTCCGACGAAGGGCTAACGCTCGAAACGTCAGCTTTTGTAATCGTTACGGTGGCCAATTTACCATTTCAACTTTGTTTATATATCCAAATTAAATCCTGTTAGAGTTCGAAATTTTCTCAGCCAACAAAAACATAATTTTAAGTATTTCATCTAATTTTGACAGTCCATGTGAATTAATTATTATCCATAATTACAGGTAAGTAAACTGGAGACGAGGCTACAGAACGCAATAAAGCAAAGAGAAAACCTTAAGACTCAGCTAAGTGAATCACGCGCCGAACTGCGCGAAAACAAAGAACTAAACTCTTTGCAACAGAAGGAAGTTCTCGAGATACAACAACAAGCTCATAGCTACAAAGAAGAAGCGGAAAGGCTTGAAAACGCAAACAGAGATCTAGTGTCCAAAATCGTTGATCTGAATGAGCAGATTTCACAACGGAGAATGGCCTTTGAATCGCACGCGGACAAAGTTGCAGATGTTGAAACCGAACTAAGCTGGTTTCAGTCGAAACTCAATGAGTTGTTTGCAGTTTTCGAATCTTTGAAAGCGGTAAATGATGGCCATCAAAGGGAAATTTTGGCCATTCCCGTCAAGGGGCTTACCACGAATGAGACTGATGAGAAGATGCTGGGCAGAATCAAGGAGCTGGAATTGGAAAATTCAGAATTGCATAACACTATCGCTGAACTTCTAGCAGAAATGTCTGCACAAGAAACAGAGGAATTGAACATGGATCCCATCTTTGCTCAAAGCGAAATAGAAAAGCTCTCACAGAAGCTTGAAGAATCTTCGATACAGATTAGTCAATTAGAAACCCGCTTTGAAACAGCAATTCGCGAGGGAGATGATTTACGAGAAGAACTTTCTTCATCTGAACGAAGACTGTCCCAAGCAAAAGACCTATTACAAAATGTTGAGGACGCCAATTATGAACTGGAGGAAAAGATGGTGAACATGCAAAGAAAAATTATCAATTACCAGCGAGATGCAGAGAGCGCATCGAGGCAGAACGCGGACCTTAAAACTGAGCTCGAAGAAGAAAGATCAAAAGTCAAAAGATTAAACGCAGAGGTTACAAAGTTTAAACATCGTTCTGATGAACTTGAAAGAAACGCTGACTTGAAACAGAGAGAGATCCACGATAAAGATAAAGTAATTCAGAATTTGACGGCATCATTGGCAGCTAACAGGTTGAGAACTGAGTCTCTGTTGAGTGAGTTGAACGAAATCCAAGCCCAAGTAGAAATCTCAGAGGATGAAAAATTAGAAATGCAGGATGAACTTTACGAAGCACAGAAGAGAATTCAAGATGTAGATACGCATAACCGACTGATTACAGAAGAGAATGGGAATCTAAGCTTTGAGGTTCAGCGGTTTTATCAGAGATTATCGGAGCTTAAAGCTTCTTATAAAACATGCGAGCACGAAAAGTTCGATTTTCAACATCAGACCATGGCGTTGCAGGAGAGGGTCAGTAAACTGGAGGCTCAAAACAACAGATCTTTCAAGCTTCCCTTCGACTTCAGCTTTATCTGGAGACCACCAACACTTGAATATATTGCGACTTACGATGCAGTCAAACAAGAGACTGATTTACGAAAAAAAAGCGACTAAACAAAGTTGAGTTTTCGAAAAACACTCTTGTGTTGCGTGAGCAAAAAAGTGAAATACTTGGCGGACTTTCAACTGGGAGTTGTCAAGGTACACGAGCCGACTGTTAACATGATCCATCCCAAGTTCGCGTCAGCGGTTTGAGTGCCTTACTTAAAAGTGAACATGTGAAGTAACGATGTGTGATGGACGAAGTGTGCGAATACATAGACGAAAGAGCGGCGTAATTCACACATGTTCAAGAAAAATTGAAAGCTCTAAAGGTTAACTTTAAGACTTCATGTGAAGAGCTGCAGGAAGTGAAGAAAATTCACAAATGAAATGCGCAAATCAAGCGAAGAGTAGGTTACTCAATCACGAGGCATATAAACTCGATACCGTGTAAAACAGATAGCCACAGATAGTAATGGGCTTATATTAAGATGTGTAGACGTTATCAACGCTAGTAAAACAGAGCACGAACCGCCAAGGACGACTGCGTCATCATATGAAACTTGGTGCAGAGAGAAAGTATCATGGAAGAGCTATGAAAAAGAAACTTGGTCTATTGTCATTTCTTAGGAACTTCGCACTTACCCCTCCCCCCTGACCCAATATAAACCATAAATTGTTGACTGTTGCTGGGTCAGGGGAGGGGTGGGTATGCAGTTACCAAACAAGTTAGGGTGCGTAGGTGCTTGTATACTGACATTAATCCGAGAAACTCCTGCGAGAAAGAGCTTGGTTGCTAAGTCGAGGAGCTCCGAAAAATAGTGTGATCGTTTAAAATGACGTCGTGATTTTAATTCCCTACACATTCTTTTAAAAACGACCACATTGTAAGGAGAAATTATAGAGTAATCTTTTGTGCGACGAAGGCTAACTCACTTTCAATGTGCGGTGTCCTTTAATAGACAAAGGTGACACCGTTTAAATTTATCACTTGCAATCACTATGGAAACTGGGGGCGAAGCTGCGGGGGGAAGGGAGCCTAGGGTGCTCGTGTCTTCCCCGCACGCCATGCTTGGCAAACAAAATTCACACTTCCGGTTCGTGAATACGATAGAATCCGAAGAACTTTCATGGAATAAATCTGTAATGATGGTAGATACTCCATAGACCCCGTGTATGAATGGCGGGCTCGATTTCTACTATTGTATTTCCATGTAAATTAGCCCTCTTGGCTTCAACACGACATGTTTAAAAGCGAGGCCAAGAAGGTTTATTTGCATGAACGTATACGACGAAGAATCACGCCCACCATTGCAAAGGAGCTCTATTTGTGGCGCCTTATCAAACCCAAGCCGCTTCGGGCAGAAATTCGTAAGTTTGATCTCCCCTTTTGAAAAAACCTAGTTACGCCTCTGGAAAAATGAAAGGTTCAAAGGAAGTGTTGCATTTTGTGGACTCTGAGTCTGAAAATTTGGGAGTTCAAAATCATAAAGTACTTTCGTTGATGCAATGTTTTGTTTCCTTTTAGCAAAACAAATTTTCTCCTTACAAGATCAACACAAGATCAAGCAAAACAAGTGATTAGAATAAAGAAAACATATCAATCAGGGATCCTTAATTGATCCAATACCAAATTCTCTGAACAAACATCATAAGAACTGTATGGGAGACAGTGAAGAGAATTACTAATGAGATCTTGCGGGTAAAAAGGGCTAAAATCAAGCGGTTTCGAGCTTTTCAAAATTATTTTCGTACGCTGACGGCCCTGTTATTTATTTGTTGTTTGTTCGTTTTTTTGTTTGCGTTCGAATAATATAGGGCTGAATCAGACAATAATTCATACTCTCTTTTGCTCCTCATCGCCCCTCATTGACCCTGTAATGATAACTTTTTTTCTGTTGTGGGTGAAATGGTTGACATCGTTGTAAATGAACGCTGCAGCCTTGGACAAACTTCGTTGCAAAATGCTTGAAAGAAATCTGGTGATGACCGCATACAATTTTGAATAAATAAGAAGAAGTTCTGTTCAACAAAGTATCTGGTCAACATTGTACAAGGGTGAGGGAGGGTGAGGGAACATTCATTTGTTATTGCCGACGGGGAGGGGGGTGGAAGAGTCGGAAGATGTCGGGAGGGTCACCTAGGGGGAAAAGGGGGAATCGATAATCGCCAAAGAGTACAAGGGAGGACTATAGAAAGTTAGCTGCCAATTAACTGCCAATGAACAGAAGTCATAAGAATATTACAGAGCTTATGGGAGTATAAGGTAAAATTTATAGTGACACAACCAAAATCCTCCGACCCCCCTCCCCCCTTGGGTGATAATTAATGACTGGTCCTGAAGATCTCCAGAAAACTGTAATTTCCAGCCCCTGTAGCCAGGTTTAAAGTTATTTTTGTTTCTCTGTTAATGTTTTTCTTCATAGAAATGTTCTAGTCTTCTTCTTCTACCTCCTCAAGGCTGTTATACTTGTACGCCGTCAGTTTGTTTCGTTTTAAATAAGCATCCAGTACAATCATTGGATTTTGAGGTTGAACAAAGTGATACACATCCCCACTGGCTGTGAATAAATCAAGAAGGCGAAATCGTGATTTTCGCGTCTTGAGCTTCAGGTAGAGTTCTTTAATAACGTCGTTTATTTCGACCTCAGCCACGTGAACAGTTTCTACTGCGCTACCAGGGTTTTTCAGCAGAGATCTTAGCAGTGCGCATGCTCCCTCTGAAGTGACCAGATTGTAACCAATTTTGATGACTTGTACAGTATCATTAAGTTCCAGACCCCTTGCAATTTTCTCCATTCCGCGGTCGGTAATACGATTGTTGTTGAGATTTAACTCAGTAATTTTTCCATTGTATTCCAAAGATTCTGCGATGTATCTTGCGCCTTCGTGGCTAATTTCGTTCCAGCACAAATCCAGTTTCTCAAGCGTTCGATTTTTCTTTAAGCCCACGCAAATGTGTTTGACTCCTAAGTCGCCCAAGCGATTCCATCCTAGGTTCAACTCACGAAGGGACACGTTTTTCCCGATCATTTCACCAAAGTGCTCTCCTCCAGTGACTCCAAAAGAATTATGACTAAGATCTAGCGCAGATAGAAAGTCTTCAGTTTGTAAAACGTTGCTGAAAAATTGAATATCATCATCAGTGAGTCCATTGCGCGAAATGTCAAGTCTTGCCAAAGAATCGTTCACAGTCAGCATGTTCCCGAGAGCGTCTGTGCCATCTTTGCTTATCTTATTCTCTGAAAGATTCAAATTAGTCATAAGACTGTTTGCCTCGAGTAATTTTGCGACAGCCGTAGCGCCTTTATTCTGAATATTATTGAGGGACAAGTCTAAACGCGTGACACTCCTATTTCGTGACAAGGCGTCCGCGACAGCAACGGCACCCGTGGGACCCAACCCAAGATTTCTCATGATTAGTTCTGTTTCACCGGCCGCGACTCTGTCGAGAAAGTAAGTCATTGCTAAAGGAGGAATTCCAAGTTGTTCGCAACTTTTAAGGAACGATTCCTTGAGAGATACGTCGTGTACTTGGCAAGCGTCTTGTACATCCTGGTGTCTGTCCTTCCTGTCGAGGCGATGGATCTTTTTGGCAGTCTTTAATGTGGCGTTTTCCGCAATGACCGAGTCGACTTTCGGGTCATCATCGTAGGAATCCAAAATGCGATTTAGATGGATCAGCAAGTTAGTCTCTGACACTGCTCGGCTCTGTGGAAAAACATAAACTTCCTCAGCCCATCGTTTTGACTTCTTTCCAATTTTTATGCGCGGAAAAATGCTAAAAAAGGGATGTTTATTCTTTGCTCTTGACGACCGCATGTCCACTGATTCCGAATTTCGTGCATTAAGAAATTTTCCTACGAAGACAATTTTAGGAGTATCCAACGTTAAACCATAATATCCTGTCAAGGAATTCTTCAGAATTCACTCTGGTACTTTATCAGCGTGTTCTCGTTCTGGAAGAGCCTAACATATTGCTGTCTAAATTGTATCTCAAGTATTGTGACGGAAACGTGAGCCAAACAAAACCTCTCCAGACCGTTTCACAATAGCGTCGAAACTCGAGAAGCAGGAATGTGAGAGAAGGGCAAAAGGCCGAGAAGTTCAGACGTGCGCTTGTCATGAGCCGGATTAAAGACAGATAACGAATAAAAAAATTAAAAAAAAAAAACACACACACACACACACACAAAGGTACTACTGACCCTAACCGCAAAGGCAGATGTTTTTCTTTTTCTTGCCACGAATGGTATTAAATCTTGTCGTTCAAATAAACTGGTTTCTCGAGAAAATAACCGAACGTGAACTATGGTTTCATATTGGAGTAATAGATGAATGTAAATTTTTAATACGTTGTTTTATTTCTGAAAGTAATTTCAGAAGTAGTATATCAGTTTTGTTGAAAGCAAACCGCCGCTCAATGCCCCAGTGATGACCGATGAACAAAAATAATTTTAATCAGAAAATTGCCTCAATGCTGGGAAGTAATGAATGTAGATATACCTTAAAACAAACAGAGATATGTCATTAAAGTATGAGTCGTAGGACAGCGGGCAGATTAAAAGCTACAATTTTATCCTTTCAGGAAATACTCGAAAGAACAGATGTTTACAAATTAAAGATTCGACAGAATTTTTTGGGGCTTACTGTACGTCAGCCGTACTATCAGTTTCATGATGAGGACTATATTTCTGCGAAAACATAGTTAATAACTGAAAATCGTCAACCCAATGATTAATTCGGCTTGAGGGAAAGAGAACGTTTAGACTCTTTCATGAAACATTCTCCGGCATAAACATCCTCATTCCTAAATTCGTTACGTGATAAAACTGGAAGTTAAACAATCAGTGTAGAACAAACAAAAAAAGTCTCAGCGATGTGAAGGGGGCACAACCTCTGCTAGTTTTCATTTCTCGGACGGCTCTTCTACTAACTGGCCGACAAAGTGAGAAAGAGACGGAACTCGTCGGCGAGTCAAGTCGTTACAAGGTATAGTGCTAAGATCAGCGATATCGAAAACTTCCTTTGTAAAGCGAGACGACTACTTCTGTGTTAACTTGTGAGGTAAAAAAAATTACGTTGCAAGTTTAAGTATTTACACAATCTTTGTTATCTTACCCTTGCTGAACTAGTTCTGAAATTCCGTGGTGTAAAAATTTCAGTGATAATGCCGGACATTGCATAAGGATGGCAAAACCGTCTTCGTTCTGGCCTTTTAACCTCAAACTTTTGTCTCTGTCAACAGACTGTTTATGTTCGTAATCAATACCTGCTTGTTTTTTTCTTAAACCTCAAAAAGGGACAGAAAACTTTGGCCGGGATGTCAACACTTCAAAATCAAAAAAATGTGACCAAGATAGTCTGTTGGGCAGATGAGGAACATGATTTAAAGATATAATCTTATACTGTGCTTTAAAACTCTGCCAAAATCTCAAAATTGTCGTGAAACGTTTATAAGACACCAAAGAAAAATTGCATTTCCATGGTGGGTTTCGAGCAAATCGACTCTCCTTCAACTTGTGGTAGGAAAAACAAACCACAAATGCGTTTCCACTGTTGTTATAAGGATTGTGTGCCATTTTGATATGGATCTCTCTAAGTAGCTCCATAATGGATTCTCCATCCTGTAAAATTGGTATTAGCTTAAATACTTCGTATTCATCATTTTCGATCCGATTTAAGTTCATAATTTTCTATTGTCCTCGGTCACTAAAGAGTTAAACTTAATTTCTCTGGTGTCTTTTCTACCACGCAAGACGATTTTTAAAAGGTTTTTTATTCTATTTCGTTTAGCTGAGATGCTAAAATGATTCAAATTAACGCCTCGTATTCCGTCACATCCGTCCATAATCACAAGGGCTTAAGGCTTGTATCCAGTACCTTTCTCTGTTCATCAAAAAAGAGACCAAAATGGAGAAGAGCCTGAACCTGCCAATCTTTGACAACTTGCGTTTGCACGTCAGTACGGCAAGCTTTTCAGGTCTGTAACAGCCGAAAGACAAAGATAAAAAAAAAAAAAAATAGATAAAAAAGGAAACAGGTTGGTGTTGCTGTCTGATAAGGGTACATCATCACCGAGACAAAAAACAGTCACCAAAAGGATGGGGCAGAGAAAAAATCTATCAGGTAGAATTAAAATATAACTCTTGCATGGCCGAGCCGAAATAACTCAATCACTTGAAAGATGTGGCTCTTACCTTTTTGTAATTTCTCCGCCGAGTAGAAGCCTAAAAGGGGAACACCAATTCATGTTAAACTTCTTGGCCTACTCTTTATAAAAACTCTCGTAGTGTTAGCTAGCAGGCCAGAATCGAAATTTTCTTTCATTAATTTTATTATACTCTAGTAGAAAATTACTTAGGTGTTAAAAAGTTGGCGCATTCTCCGCTCGGAAAAGAAGCTTGTAACGCATAATTTTAGTTTGCAATTTCAATTATAAAATTTTGTGTCAAACAATGAGCGAAAATATCACGCGCATAATATATGTAGTTTCAAAACAAGGCTGTGTTATCTTAAGCGCAAAAATAAACTATTAAAATCTCTACTCAGTAGAAAAAGAAAACAGCCTTAAAGGCTCGTGCTCTTTTCTAAGCACAGACTTCGCTAGAAAGCCAAGATAACTGATAAACGGAAACCAAAAACCGCCGGAAAAAAATTTGAAAGGATGGACGCCGGGAAAAAATTGTAATAAAGCTTTTTTCGTTACCTTTACAAGCCTTAACCATAGCTTTTTTGTTTCCGCCATGTTGTTGATAACTAAAAATCATCCTTAAATCTATCAAGCTTCTTGGGATCGTTGGAGTGAAGAGGTTTGATAATTTAGTTGATTTCCAATAAAGCAAAATCGAGTTTCGATGAATCGTTAAAACCTGAAAAGCTATCCTTAATTCAGGTAGACATATTAAGTTTCTGCGCAACGACTAAATAAAAAAGCCCTTCGTTTGCCATCAATTGTCAAATGACACCTTCAAATCAAGGAAAGTGGAAAGGGATCACTTTGCGGCGGCTTTCCTTTGACACGAGTATTGTTTTCTTCAAGCCGGCGCAAACAATCAGAACTTAGAATGGTGATCGCTGTCCAATTACAAATGAGTGTTGAACAAATATTGTATCCTGGCATTTAAAACCTACAAAATTTTTAGGGTTAACAAAAGAAAAATATTTCTTTGGGAATACTTTAAAATGCTAAAGTAAATCTTTGTGAAAATTGTCAAGGAAAACGTCGCATTTGTGTAAATAGATTGCGACAAAAGCTGTCAAAGTTTTTTCGGCAGATTTCCTTGAGGCGAATATATCATTTTTCCTTACAGTTTGATTTCATCTTTAGGAAAACAGCCCGAGAAAAGAAGTCGATTTTAGTAAGTAACGTAAATTTCATTGTTAACAAGAGAAAAAAAATTTTTGCTTTTGAGATCATTCGAAATGAGTAATTGGCGGAAAAAAATTAATTCTAGCTTGTGTATAAGTTATGATACAGTTAACCTCCAGGCTCCGGTTGTTCAAAGGGCGGATAACGCTATCCAACGGAATAAATCACTCTCCAGCTGATAAGTGTTACCAAAACGTACTGCGCTATCCACCGGATAGAGATTTATCCAGTGTATAGCGTTATCCCGGCATCCTTTGAACATCCGGGGCCAGCAGTACAAACCCCCCTTAGGAAGGAAGATCAAAACAGGTCTGAGTTATCAAGAATAAACTTATATAGAGAGCGTATTTTTTGTACTACAAAGAAACAAGGTCCACTTCGCTTTAGTCGTAAACCAGAGGTTATTATTTGTCACCAGTCGAATTCAGATTCGGAAGTCAACTGAGGTCTTTGATCATGAGTTGATAAGGAAACAATACACGTCACCTTTATTTTTAAGGCGATATTTCCTAAAGATACGGGTAGTATCAGTGAAATTGATGTACTGTTTTTGAAGTTCAATATTGGCATTTCGAGTCGTATGGTTTATCTCAAGGCCCTAAGCTTTTTCTATCCAGGCTACGGATTATTGCCTCCTTTTCTACCAAACAAATCTTATCGGACTGTCTTAATCACACATGATTGGCAGGTGCCTGGCGTTTGGGCCGGAAAATCCTGAACGTTGCATATTAATTCGAGCGCTGTCAATATTTTCAATATTTAACGCTTTTTTTTCTATTTCTGAGAGACAAGAACAAATTTTCAAGGTTTTAAAGTTGTCGCAATTTGATGGAGTGAACAAACTTGTCGATACTAAATACGCAGCTCTTATCTCATTTTAGAGAATTCCAATGTTTTGGTTGCCGAATATCTCCTTAGTCACAGTGAAACATGTTCTATTTTACAGTCCCAAAACAAATCACTCTTTAAACAGCGATACCCTTAACTGGAGGAAAATGTTAAGTGGACATACTTCGCAATGAACTCAAACAGAGGAAAACTCGGTACAAATGACTCATGGAGACTAAATTACACTGTACCTGCATTTCGTTCATTGTTCGTGAATATTTGATTAATCGTTTTTTGTTTAAAAGAGAGTTCTCCAAAATCAATATTTCCAATTTTGCCTCACAGCCAATATCTATACCTTGAAACGTTTGCATATCTAAAATCAGTTGTTTTTACATGCAAGTTTACATAAACACACTATAGAACAAATCAGATTATTCAGGAAATTTTACGCTAAACTGGTCGTTATATGTACAAGCTGTCCTCCCGTTTAGCGATTTTAGCCTTCTAAGCGATCCAACACGAGATTTTCTTCTTTAAGACATGCTTTGCAAACTTTTTTTTTTTTTGGTGGAAAATTGTAGTCCAACAGTTAAATTAACAGAATGAAAATAGCAGAACATACTTTGTTTCTAAGGACACCATGCAATAACATAGATGTTTTCATGGCCTGTCTAATACGAAATGGAAATGAACACAAATAATCATGGGGATTTATCCTTGAATCAATGAATAAATACAACACTCACTTTTTCCTGCTCCTTCATTTTCCCAGTAAATAAGAGTGGAGTCTGCACTGCGGTAAAATATCGCCGTTGTTGTAAACACAAGCAGCTGATAGCGATTCTTAATCGTTCACTATAAGTCGCGTTATTTGCATAGCATTTATAGGAAATAAATTATTAATGCCAATGAAAGGTGATTAAAAATAATCTAACGAAAGAGAGAATTTACAACGGATCGTCTTAAAATATTTACCTTGAAGACACTTTCCTCAACGTTTTCGCCCGTTCCCTTCCCCCCTCCCACACAGGGCCCTGTAATATTTTTTTGACCCCCCTCTATTGGTGTCGACTGATTCCCCCCCTCTCCCCCTCAAGAACATGTGGTTCCCCCCAAAATCCTCCAATCCCTCCTCTCCTAGGCGATAAATGATAATTGGTCTCCGGGGATTGTACCTTATCATCTGCTGGTGTGCCGGTGAAAACTGAGCAATGGCCTGTAATGTTGTGTTTTCATTTACAACGCGTAAGAAAAGATTGCTATTTAAAAAATAAAATCTGAAATGTTTCTAAGAGAAATCAATGAACTTGTAGAAGAATAGTATTTTCCCTCGGCAGAAAATGACTTCTCATGGCAGCACAAATGTCTGACGTCCATTTTCCTCGAGCGATATTCAAATTATCGCAAAAAAAAAAAAAAAAGAATAAATGCGCCAAACTGGAGAATAGAAGTATGGTTAAGTACATTTTATTTTGAAAGAACAGAGGATAACTGAGGCATTTAAGGAGAGAAAAGTATTGCTTATAAAACAAAGCCAAGCCCTCAGTTTTAACTTATGCATGCTATAAAATCCTATAGCACCACTTTTTCAAATCCAAAAGAACTTGCAAATAATTGTAGTCCCCAGTCACCGTAAAAATATCATGGTGGACATTTCGACTGAATGATATAAACAACTTTCAGTACGGATATCAGTCTTGGAACGTTGTTTGATAAATGACCAATATACGCAGAATAAAACAGTCTAATTGAAAAAAAAAAACATTAATATTTTTAGATGCACGAGCGCTTTGAGATAAACAAAACTGAGATTGGACATATCATCTGTGCTTGAAGTACAGACAGGTGCAGTGGTGACGAGGATTCAGAGAACGCTGACGATGCCGCGGCGATTGCTGGGAAGACGCTGGCTGCATTACTGAAAAGTCAGTTCCATTCTGCTCTTTATTAGCTCTCAAAAGAACTTTTCCGCAAGAAAATTCACAACGGGAGTTTCAACAAGGGCAACGTTGGCGCCTTTTCAAACAATGAATCCTTTTAGCTTGTATGTTTTGTTTACCATTTCAGGTCATGAGATACAATGAATATATGAAGTTCATATATTTTTGAACTGCGGTATTAGATACGTATGATGTACGATCCTCGCAGTAGATAGCGCTATTTAAGCAATAGCGAAAATCAGACCTGAAAAAAAAATCAGGCCTAAATAGCGCTATCTACTGCGAGGATCGTCCATCATACGTATCTAATACCGCAGTTCAAAAATATATGAACTTCATATATTCATTGTATCTCATTTATTACTTTCACGGGTTTATTACGAATCAACTTAACGGCCTGCTCCCAGTTGGCTTGTTAGCTCAATTGGTAGAGCGCTGCACTAGTATCGCAGAGGTCAGTGGTTCGAATCCCGTACAGGCCTGATTTTTTTTCAGGTCTGATTTTCGCTATTGCCTAAATAGCGCTATCTATTGCGAGGATCGTCCATCATACGTATTTCAGGTCATGTGATATACCGTATTTCCTCGAATAAGCGTCCACCCTCTTGGCCGCGATAATGTCAAACAAGCGTTCCTTTCTTCCCTTACTTTCTTAAACGATAGGGACACGAGAAAAAACTGTTTCTCTTTATATAAGTTTTTAAATGGATTCAGTACAGGAGAAAAATAAGCGCCCCCTTTAGCGCCCCCTTAATAAAGCGCCCTTCTTTCAATAAGCGCGTCCCCCCCTTTTAGCCGAAATTTTAAATAAGGGCCCGGGCTTATTCGAGGAAATACGTTACACAAGAAAACTGTTTCTTTCAAATTTCCTCTCATTCACGTGCTTATTCACGTGCATATGTAAGCTTAAAAAGCTAGGAATTCCCTTGAGTCTTTGGGTAAACAGAGGTGGCAGAGACGCAAGATTTTCAGAATAGGTGTGAACGTGCGAGTGGCCGACTTAGAGTCTCAAGTGGATCTGCTCGGTCAAGAGAATGAAGACTTCAAGAGTCAGTTGGGGCATGCAGAGTGCAGAATTGCAGAGTTAAAGGCATCACTGCAGAGGAACGAGCAAGAGAACGAAGAACTTGTGGTACCTACTACCCGGAATGAAAACACACTTGTTGAAACTTGGGAGTCAGTTGGACCAGAGTTAATAGCCAAACGTATGTAGAAATCTTAGAGGACGAGAAGGAAAGTCTGCATGGTGAAAATCTTAAGATTCAGAAAGCTCTTCGCGAGGTCGAAGCGGAATTGGTGCTCGCTAACGAAGACAATGATCGCTTAAACGATGAACTTCAGGAATATTACAAGAAGTCATCTGAGCTTCAAGTCTCCTACAAGATCTGCGATCAAGAAAGAATGGACAACCACCAGCAAATACTGATGCTCAACAAGAAAGTCGAGCGCTTAGAGGCTGATCTGGCTGAGGCCCTAAAGGAGAAGAAATGGCTGAAGGCTGAGCTTGAAAACTACACTGGAAACAATCGTCAAAATATTGAGGCGTTAGACGGCATTGCAAAGACACAATTAGCAGAGGTACAAAGCATTATGGATGACCACCGATACACTGACGTGAAGGAACCGATAAAGAATTTACCATTGAGCAATTGCGCGAGCAAGTCCTCTTCCTGACGAAGGACTGTGATGATCTTAAAGGTGAACTCTTTACAACAAGTCTCTCGTGGTCAGTCGTTGAAAGTGACAAAAGAAGACTTCAGGAACAAGTCGCAGCTCTTGGTGAGA